TGCACTCATAATGTATTTCACGTATCAACGAGAATTGTATACGATTGGATTTCTTACTTTTGCATGCTAATCCATTCCATCTGATGTAAAGCTTGGCAATTGTTAAAGTCTAGTTTTGCGAACTCAAGATATGTATTGTTGTTCACATATGGCATCCTGCATTAAAAAAATCATTGACATATAAAACATTTTAGATGGAACATTACTTGATTTTTTAACCATGATCTTACACAAAATCAAATCATTATCTAATTAGTTTTCTGGTTTAAGCAGTGTTGATGATAAAATTAGGGTTGTTCACCTATTCTGATTTGGATAAAGTTTTGTTAGTCGTCGTGAAGAATGGAGAGTCAAAGACAATGAGCCATGAGAGGAGAGAGAGAGAGCCATCTTTTTTTTTATACGGAGATTCATATGATAACTTGTAGGTTGGTAGGGTGAATGAACGATCGTCTGACAATATATATGACTCTGAATTTACCAGATGTCATGTTAAAAGATTGTCATTGATAAGAAAATATGGGTTTCCGGAGGCTATGATCAACAGAGAAATCACTCTGAAAATTGTTAATCCGCGAATGAATGAATAGAAACGTAACTCAATAACTCATGGAAGAGATATGGAAGGGGTACAACAAGCCATTATCCTTTTTTTAATAATTATATGTAAAAGGAAATTATTTTATAATTATGCTGTGAGGGAAAAAAAATTGGAAGGGAAGAGGAAAAGGTACCTATAAAGAGTCTTGCCGATCCATATATCATCTTCACCTCCGTACTGTTGTATGTAAAATCTGGATTCCACCCTTGGGAGGCTTGCATGCCATGGAAACCTCAATGCGTACCCAACCTGTTAATGAATTCATATGACTTCTATGACATGATTAATAATATATGTATGTTTTCCATAAATATCCCAGGTCTTTCTTAAATTTCAACAATACGTAATATAATATATTATTACCTCACCGGGTAAGTCTTTGGTTATGATCCATTTGTCTAAAAGTTGACGAGCAGCTTGTTTTTGTCTCAAGAAATTGGTTGAAAAACGGCTGGCATCCTCAAGAATCTTGTCCCCAGGGAACCGCACCTGGGATGCCCTATACAGGTTGAAAATCCCGGTCACTGCTTGGTTTGACTGTCCCGCAAAGCAGAAGAACTCGCCACCTTTCTCAAAATGTCGGAAAACATCTGTTTATGAAGTCCACGAATCGCATATTAAAAAACAATGACAACATCGCATGTGCAAAACAAAGTGGTCCAAAGCTTTGTACCTGCAGAAACGTCGTATCCATGTAATCTTAGTAACCTAAACCCCATGGCCGTATCGTCAATGTCATTAACCCTTGTGTTTCTTGCCCAACATATCCCTTCTTCAGTCCAGTATCTGAAGATTTTAAGAAATCAAAGCTTCCGAATACCAGTTTGAAGTTGTGAAAGTTAGAATAATTCATTATATGTTGCAGATTGCACGTACCTATGAATGTAGTCCAGGCATTGTTTGATTTCTGGATTGAAATATCTCGAAATCCCGAGGCGTTGCAATCGGTCGATGGTCCAGATATGTTCAAAGAGATCGACAGGGTATACGTTTGGGACTCCGCCATCGAATCTTCGAACGATTTTAGTCAAGTATTCGAGACAATTTTGGTCTTTGGTTTGCATGAAAGCAAAGGCAGTGGAAGAAGGAGAGAACAAGAGAGACCCATCTTGGCATTGTAACTTCAAAAGCTTTTCCCAGTCCAAGCCTTGCATCCCTTCAAGGCTATGAAGTAGTGTTGTGGGAACATTGTGCATTATCTCCTTTGGTATCCTATTCCACACAAATAAAATATGCATTATTACATTACATACATGTAAATAATAAAACCTGTAAATATATATTTAGATACTCGAACTCGTTATTTTAAAATGTTACGTACTTTGTGAGCTTTAGTTCTCTTTGTTCATAGATGTCTTGAAACATGGGGGAATCATATGGCACTTCTATGTTCAGGGTTCGAGCTATTTCTAGAAGTGAAGGAAATACCACTTCGAAACCAATTGGCATATGCTCTGCATTCTCATCTTTGAGTTTGCTTATGTTCTCTTTGAAGAATGACACTCCTATGTGAAGGAAAAAGAGAGTTAACGAAAAATAAAGAACGGGTATGTGTCTAATATTAATATGTTCGATTTTACGATACCTTTCTCGTATTTTTCTGGATGGATATTCCAAGTTTTCAAAGCAACAACACAAGCTAAAGTGTTGATCAATCGATCATGGGACACGAATATGTGTTCATCGCCCCATGATCCATCTGAAAGTTGATTGTTAGCAATCCATTCGAGAGTAGAAGGGAACTGAGGAGAACCGGTGCCATTAACGTCTTCAATGAGAGCAACCCAAGCTGTGTCATAAGCTGAACAGCTTATCTCTCCATTCTCCATGAAACCCAACATGGATTTAATATCGTAGACAAGTTCCTTAATCTTGTTCGGTTCCAAACCCTTGTTGGATAAACAAACAAACCACATTACCGCACACAAACACACATGTATATACGTATATATATATATATAGTCTTTTTACCTTAAAAGCTTCCTTTTCTTGGATGTCTTCGTCCACAACCTCGTTCCACTTTAATACTGGCGAATCACTTTGAAAAACACCACCATTTTCTGCACATAAACAATAAAAGTGGGTGAATTAATTACTATGAAAAGTTGTAATCAAGTAAAACATCGTACCTTGAGCGCGGGGCTTGGATACAACCGCGAAAGGTGTGCGCTGGTGGCTGTAGGAGAATGAGATAGAAAAAGGAGGAATAGGGGAGGAGGAACGGAAGCGATGGCGGTGTTTGTGGTGGTTGTGGTGGCGGAGGAGGTTGAAGGAATGGGAAGACATATCTATGGAATTAAGAACAGTCTCTCTGCCTCCTCTCGTTAGCAATGAGCATGAAGAACTACATAATATCTATCTATCTATATATATGCGTTATGAAGTTTCATACGAGGCTGTTTATGGTAAATAATTTAATTCAAATTTCATGCCAGATATGCATGTGTAACTTTTTTTAATTATTTATTTGATTTATTAATCGACTAATTTATGATATTGTAAAAATTCATTATGAGATAACTCTTTTAATCCACTTTATTTCATTCACTTGAACGATCTATTTACGTGACATTGAGCTACATTTCAATAATAATTTATAATAATTAATGTATTTAGAAGAAACGACAAAAAATAATAATAGAAACTATCGATTTAGTCTCTATAAAAAAATCATAACTCACACGTAATATGTTCAAAGAACGATAATATAAACAATCGATTCAGTCTCTTCAAGGAAGTCACAATTCTTACCGACACGAGTATATGATTCGATAATTTAAGTTACCAAAATATTGTGAAAATAAAATTATAATTTATATATTTTCATATACTTTCTATTAATAAAAAAAACTTAATTATTGGTACAACGCAGATTAACGGCAGTTGAATAATACTAAATTTTGGAGCTGTATAATTTGATTAATTACATGTTTTCATTAAATGCAAAAAAAATATAATTAGTTTGGAATTTAATGACATGATGACTAGTAAAGTAAACGAGAAAGGAGGAGTTAATTGCACCCAATTAATGGCATATACTCTCCCTGTACACGGCTGGTAACAGAAATTGTTAACCCAGATTAATGAAGAATCCATATATGCACCCAGCAGATGATTTGTACACAAATCAAAGCTGTAAAACCCTAATAAATATGCACCAAATTAATTGCTGGCATTCATTGTGTTTTTGGGAGTCAAAATAAGTATGGAATTAATAGCAGATTTAGAAATTATTTTAGGATGAAGACAAATATATTAATAACTGGGACAAGGACAAATAAAATTTCACGGTGGGTACCATTAGTAAAATAGTAATTAATCGAATAAAATTCGGATTTCGGAATGGGTTCATGCCCATCCTAGAATAGCTATAGATCCACCACTGCATGAACCCCTAATCAAAGCAAAGCTGTAACAGTGTGAAGAGAATAAGCTGTAAAACCCTAATAAATATGCACCAAATTATTGCTGGCATGCATTGTGTTTTGGGAGTCAAAATAAGTATGGAATTAATAGCAGATTTAGAAATTATTTTAGGATGAAGACAAATATTTTAATAACTGGGACAAGGACAAATAAAATTTCACGGTGGGTACCATTAGTAAAATAAGTAATTAATCGAATAAAATTCGGATTTCGGAATGGGTTCATGCCCATCCTAGAATAGCTATAGATCCACCACTGCATGAACCCCTAATCAAAGCAAAGCTGTAACAGTGTGAAGAGAATATGCATGAACGATTTAAGAGCATGATGAAAGTAAATAAGGAAACAAACTTCATTTCTACGACTCTTCTTTGTTGAATTTTTGTCCGTTTTTATCCAAGATAATTTTAATCATAAAGTATAATTTTGGAATTTCATAATTGCATACTTGAAGATAAGAATTAGTAGTAAAGAGTAATGAGAAATTTCGTTTGAATTAAAATTATCGTATTTGGTTACTTAAATATGAACAAGTAACATACAAAGACAAAGTGCTCGAGGTTTATTAACGAGTAGGTTGGAATGTTAGTGCGTCGGATTTTACGATATCCATCTTATTTCGAATTTAATTGGGTAGGCATATGTATATGTATATGATTTGTATTAGTTTTAGATCGTTATGGATCAAATTATAAATAAGGAAAAATTTAAGGATTAAAGTGTAAGTTTACAAAGAAAATAATGATGGATGTTTGGGATTCTAATTCAATCACAACTAATACTTATAAAATTTCATTAGTTATGGTTTGGGGATATGAGGTGTAAAAGATGATAAAAAAATGAAAATGACACGACAATAACATTAATATGGATATTTTTACTAAATGAAGAAAAATGGGATTGGAAAAACAAAAGTGGATGAAGATCTCTAATGCGTTCTAAACTTTGAGATGCACCACAAGTTTCATTTTTGGGTCTGAATGGAAAGGAAGCTTATCAATTGACATCATTGTACAAAACAATCACTAGACCGTCAGCAACTCCTGAAAGATGAAAGCAGAAAGGAAAGATAAAAATGTGCTAAAAGAGTCTTTGGTATCTGAAGCAAAAGAATATGTTCATTTTGACAAGAGATACCTTCTCTTTCTGCTTGAAGAGGCTGTCAATCTTCTTCATATACTCATCTGTTAGTTTCTGCATTAATCAAAAGATTTCACAAACTTCAGTACTAACAAGAATGTGCAATCAACCAACGTAAGTGCATACATACCAAAACAAAAACATATGCATTGCACATATAGAGTTATGGCCGGAGATTAGAGTAAAGCAAATAAGAAGGCTCTATAGTCTGTTTATTTGAGGGATGCCTGCGAAACAAAGAGTTTCAGCAGTTCCCTTTACGGAGTTTTGTCCATTGTACATTTTCTCCGTTCATCAAGGAATGAGGTGCATACCCAATTAGTGAAAGTAGCCCATACATTATGAATCACCTTGGCAACTATTTCCATATACCTTTGAGAAAGTGGTTATGAATATTAATCATTTGACTAACAAATTTTCCATCCTCACTCATTCTCACTCCTCACATCTAAGCCGTAGTTCTTCTTGGTGTCATAAGCAGTGGGCAATTGCATAATATGTTCTACCTATAATGACAGAAGCGCTTCTTCCCTTAATTTTGTTCATGGGAGAGCGGGAAGTAAAAGCATAAAAAGAAATTGATGAGAATGAAGGTCAAGAACTTGTATCTAAAGTTACCTGCAAATCATTTGATAAGTCCTTCACATTGTCTTCAGACAACTTTTTCTCCTGGATAAATTGGGGGGGATGTCAACAGAAGATAAAACAAACGTAAACCAGGGAAAAGAAAGCAAAGAAACATGAACCAAAAGTGAAAGGGATGGATGGCAGTAAAGATACAGGCCTTCTCAAGTTTTTCATAGGCTTTAAGGGCATCTCTTCTTATATTCCTCACTGCCACCTATAAACCAGTTGATCAACAAAAAAAATTCAGGTAAATCAGCAATAAAATTTAGTCTAAACCCATCGTGAACCAAATATTAATCCAACAAGTGCAAATTTAGGACACATGTGATTAGATACTCATGTGATCATACAAGTAAATCTCAGCACTTCCATGTTCTTGGAAGTAATTAAAAGTAAATAAGATTACTATAAACTGAATATGCATACTCCATTTGGTCGTTGCTTTTTTTTTTAATGAATATAAGCTTGTAAGGATCATTAAGTGTACTTCAAATTTAAATACGCAAGAAACAACTTATTTTATTTTTTCTCTTCAAGTGTAATGTAAAAATAAAGCCTCGAGAGTAGTGGCTGAAGTTCAAACCACAGTTATTAAAGTTTGAGTACCTTCCCTTCTTCAGCTTGTTTGGCCACAATTTTTGAGAATTCCTGCAGTCATGTAACATATAGGTAAAACCAATAAACAAACTTTATGAAACTTTCTGGAAGAGTTTGTTCAAGAAAACTTTCTGGAAACAATTCTAGATAATACAATATCCCAATTAAATCTACCACTGATACATCCATTTATCTACTAACAAAAGAGTATCTTCCCACCACTTCTTTCTAGGGAATATGTATGTGCTCCAAGAACACAGGTAAATTTTAACAGTATTTGAACTTGTAATAATGCATAACCAAGGGTAAAACAGAAAATAAATAATAAGTTAGTTGCAAGCAATTATATAGTGCTCACATGGTAAGTTACCGGACTATGATTCGAAGGCATAAAATTTCAAATATATATATATATATATAAAGATTGAACGAGTGAAATAGATTATAGATATATATATTTAGAGAGAGAGAGAGAATGATAGACACATGCACAGGATATGGAATAGTTCCAAGAAAACAATAGGAAAAAATGAGTTCCAGCCCCCCCCCCCCAACCCTCTCCATATGCTGAAAATTCACGAGAAGAATATACCTTTCTTCTTTCGGTGGTCAGTTGAGGAAGAGACATGCGGATGACTTCACCATCATTGTTTGGAGTCATACCAAGATCAGAGTTGACTATAGCTTTTTCTATAGCCTTTAAGCTGAAAAAGTTTTACACGTCAAAATAGAGTACAAGCCACTAATAGAAAGCACAAAGATGCTTCATGAAGCACTTCTGAAGATACTGGACGGCAGTTTTCAATACCACAAGCTATATTTAACAACTATATCTAAGTAGAGATTGTCAACATATTGATAAAGATACAATGTATTGCCCTTTATTTGCTATGTATTTTCAAAAGAACATGTTATGGAAGCCTTCAAGCAAATGTGTGCTAAATACATTGCAGAAGAAGAATCATACAAGCAAAAAATCTGAACTAATGCCTATCAGCTCTGGTTTATATTATACCTGGATTTGTCATATGGCTGAACCAATAGAGAACTTGAATCGGGTGTACTTATTTGAGCGATACTCTTTAAGCTGACAGGAGTACCGTAGTATTCCACCTAAAATAGCACACCATTAATCTCATTAGATAAAAAGATGATATTTTACCTTTAGAACAAAATTCAACATGCCATTTTAAGATCAACTTCATATATAACAGACATAAATATCATTAGACATTCAATTCAGCAATTCTGATACAAGCAATTCAGTCTTTCTCTGATAGGCCTCATAACAATTTCGATATGTTTAGATTGTGCCCTTAGCAAGTGTTGACATAATATCCCATAATTCAGTTGAACCATACCTCAACTTTGTCGAGCATTGCCGGGTTTGCTCTCCCTGTCCTAATGGAGTTGAAATTTGTTCGAACTGTCTCAATTGTCTTCTCCATTTTTTCTTTCTGATAAAAAATAAGAACAGTAATAACAATGATTTGGTTTCCTTGCTAAAGTTGAATTTATAGAAAAGAAACTCACAGCCTCGTTCTCAATGGAAGATTTCTCAGCTTCGATTTCTTCAATAGTTGCACACCTCACATTCCCAACTCTACACACTCCAAAAACAATAAACATCTTAAAAACAAAAAACCCAAAGCACTGCTATCTTAGAAATTCGCTGTAACGTTTCTTCAAACACATAGAAAGTTATTTTTCAGGAACCAACTTGCCTCTTACGTAACAGATGATTAACAACGATGGGTTTGCTGCATAATTTAACGATCGTGTAGCTAGCAGATGAGCTCAATGAATACACGCTAAAATTGCAGGAACGGCACTTGAAGCAATCGCGTCCCTTCTGGAAACAATCTGCAAGCGGGAATTGTCAATGCCCACTAAAGAAAACAGTGAACAATGTACTGAAAAAAAGGAAGAGTGCAAACAGAACCTGAATGGGAGAGGAAAGATTTCAGAGGGGTACGAATGGTACTGAAAACGGATCGAATGGGAGAGGTTGAAGAAAAGGGAGCTGCCATTTGATAGAAGAAAATTGGTTATGGGTTCTGGTTTAGCTTCTGTCAACTAGAGCGAAGAAAGGAGGGAAAGGTGCAGGGATGTGGATAAGAAATTGTTTTTCACTCTCATTTTCAGCGCTTTCGGATGTGGATTTGTTTGGTTACAAATTTACGCTTGTTCTTGTCCGGGTTGGGTTTAACTTATACTCGAATTAATTTTGTATGAACCGGGCCATTGCCAAAGGATTGGACTTCATAAATTCAATCCCTCATGGGCCCAAAGTCTAGAAAATCCCAACCGATTATAATTCTATTTAAAAAATATCAAATAGTCTGATCTTTATTTATTTATTTTTAAGCATTTTGACCTTTAACATTTTATTTTGAGATAAAAAAGTCTTTAACGCTTGATCCAATAGCTATTTTGACTTTTCTTATTTTTTATAGCATTTTGGTCCTTAACATTTCATTTTATAGTAAAAAATGCTTTTATTTTGAAGCGTTAACTGCTTGTTAACTAACGATTTCATCTATAGAAGAGTCTTTTATCCCAAAATGAAACATTATAGTTAAAATACTCCAAAAATTAGAGACTAAAATAATTATTTAATCAAACAATTGTGTTGAGTTAATCGATCGATGGAATCAGCCAAGAGGAGGGTGAATTGGAAATTAAAATTTCGGTGGAAGCTTTTGTAGAAAATTGAAAATATTTGCACAACGATTTAGAGTGGTTCGACTTTCTCAACCAAAGTCTACGTCCACTACCTTAGCTATCCATACTAAGGATTTTCCACAAATTCACTAATTTGTCTTTCTTTTGAGGACAAAGAGTAACCTTACAAATCCCTCAAGAATTATACCCCAAATTCTTGATAACACTCTCTCCCAAAGAGAACAATACAAATTTTGCAAACTTATAAGAAAATCCTCACAATGCAAGATTTTTGCACAATTCTAGAACAAAGAGAGAACACTCAAGAATAATACAATTGCGTAAAATAAGTGTTCTTGAAAGCAAAAATGAATATTGAATGAAATAGGCTTGAAAATGCTCAAACTTGAGGTTTGATGCTTTCTCTTTGATTCTCTCTTGATTCTTGTTGATTGTTGTTTCTTCTTTTTGATCAATGGCTTCTAAGCTTGTTTAAATACTCCTTCAATTGATTCTGAATGTTGGGGATGATTAGTGGAGTCAATGGAGCCGTTTAAGTGTGAAAATGCTCAAACTTGAGGTTTGATGCTTTCTCTTTGATTCTCTCTTGATTCTTGTTGATTGTTGTTTCTTCTTTTTGATCAATGGCTTCTAAGCTTGTTTAAATACTCCTTCAATTGATTCTGAACGTTGGGGATGATTAGTGGAGTCAATGGAGCCGTTTAAGTGTGAAAACAATTATTAAAATAGTTGGGAGCGTCTGGTGCATCGATGCATAGGGCTAGTGCATCGGTATACTATGTGTAAAATTCAAATATTTCGACCATTGGACCCTTATTGCATCGGTGCCTAAGAGTGCATCGATGCATTAAATGCATTCAATGTTTCAAACAAGCCTGAGTGCATCGATGCATGTGCATCAATGAGTGCATCGGTGCATCCCTTCTCAATTTGATTTTTGGCTCGTTTTTTTGTTCGAATACTTTGTGAAGACTTGGAGTAATATTTTGATATTCGAGTAATTAAATCGAATATACTAGAAAATCATTTGTAAAATCTTAAAATTCATTAACTTAATTTGTTATATCGAAACATCAAAATATTTTCAACAATCTCCCCCTTTTTGATATAACAAAATATTTAGTAAAAACAAGGTTTTGAAAGCATAGCCAATTAATTATAAATATAGCTTAAGCTGCTAAGATAAAGATCAAGAAAAGTTAGCCATTAGTTTCATAATTCAATATTCATAATCAAATATGAAATGACATAATTGGTCATAATGCAACTAATATGTAAATGATGCAAAAATTAATAAACATTAAGCTCAAAAAGAAAGTTAAAACCAAACCAAATATATATATAATAAGTTCAAACATCCAATCATCCAAATCATAAATCCAAACCAATTCAAACATTCAACAACCAAAGTAAAACAATCCAAAAACAACAAAATGTTTATCAATCCAAGTTTTAAGTTCAAGAAAGCATGGCAAGTAAAGGTCTACTCTATCGGAGGGTCGGGAGGAGGAGGATAATGTGCTCTTACTTCAAGAGTGAGAGCGTACATACATTCACGCATATCCCGTTGAAATTCAGTTATCTGAGACTCTATGGAAGCAAACCTCAGATCAAACGACTCTAAGAAAGATCGAAAATATGGTGGCGTTTGATCTTCTTGCTGTGTTGATTCCGGTGCAGGCTCATCGTCTGGTATGTGATCATCAATATCTTGCATAAGCTGTTGAAGCTCGAGATCGTCGTCAGCAGTCGGTGCCGGAGGAGGAGGAGGAGGACGAGAAGAGCTAGGAGCAGAACGTGAAGAACTGGCTCCCTGAGTTTGCTTATTGGGTCGAAAGACCCATTGACCAGTTTCCTCGTCCTGTTTCCAATCAGCTTTCTTCAAAGAGGTGAGATTGATTTGGTTTTGAAGAGGTATGGGATTGTCGAGAGAGACTCTAATGCTAAGTTTGATAAAAAGATTACTAAGTAGACACCCATAAACTAAAGTTTCGACATGTTTAGAAGGGACAATATTTATGGTATCTACTAGTTCACTAAAAATGATTTGTGGAAATTTATCTTTCTATTATGTTAGATACAATGCATCCACCATAAATCCCTGACACAAAGAGTGGAGTACCTACCTCCGGATGGTCGAAACCACCAAGAGATCATTAAATGTAGAACACGATCGTGATGTGTACGTAAGGTACTAACACTAGCATTAGGAAGATAGGGATATGCCACAGTTTCTTTCTCATTATATAAACAATTATCATCTAGCCCAAATTGCTTAGTTATAGTGTCGGAGTCAATATGAATATATTGTCCTAAAAGGTAGGATCTAATTCCTATAGTCCTACATTGACTCTCGTTTTGAATACATACTGCATTAGAGTAGAAAATGCGGACTAACTGATGATAGATAATAGGTTTAAGGTGAAACAGTTTATCAAACTTCCAGGACTTGAGAGTCAGTAGGTATTTAAAGTTAATATCTACCATGGCTTGAACAGAGGGAATACGTTCTTCCCAGATTTTGTAAGTTTGGAATGAATCCATGTACCTATGGTAGAGTTCTTCTCTACGACGCTCAGGCATATTAAAACATGAGTTTAGAATGGTCATATTGGGATCGTTTGGATTTGGATCTTGAGGAAGAATATGATTAGAATGTTGGTTAGAATGACTAAAAGAGCTTAGGGCATTTAGGGTTTGACATGGTTTAAGAAATCGAAATTAGAAATGTAACCTGCAATTTTGAAACACATGTATGCAAAATAATCAATCCCAAAACTCAATTGAGTCCACAATAATTTAAGGTTCTCTAAACCAAATCCTAATGGGCATGATTTTGAAAACTATTTGAAAATAACATTGGAAATATCATAATACATATAGTTTTCATGAAAACAATACAATTAAATCAAAAACATCAATAATTTTCAAAAATAACAAAATTGTTTTTATTTCGAAAAATCAAAGACAATGTTGAAAAATTGTTTGTTTTTTACGAAATTGATTGTAAAATCTAGTTTAGAATCATAATATAATTAATGCCCGATATAATTTTCATCCTAGAATTAATCTAAACTAGTTCTAAAATCAAAATTTGATAAAATAGAGGTTTTGGAAAAATACCTTGAAAAATTCGGATTGAGTGGAATGTGATGATGTTTTGCACGATTTAATGATGTTAGCAGGATTAGGAGTTGAAGAACAGTTGGATTCCGACTATTTTTCGTTGATTTTGAGCAAATTGAGAGTTTAGGGAGAGAGAGGGACGAACGGCGGCTAAGAGTGTTTGAAAGGGTTTTGAGAAAATGAAGAAAAGCAAGGTTTTTATCCAAAAACCCGATGAATACATCGTTGCATGGCCTTGTGCATCGATGCACATTCAAAGAGTGCACCTGTGCATCTTCATGATGTATCGATGCACGTTCAAAGGGATGCATCGATGCACTATTCGGTGTATCGATGCATTATGCACAAAAATGTCAAAAATCCATTTTAAACACTCATCATGCTAAATTAATTAGCTCTAGTGGTATTAGCAACTCATATATTGAAAATTAATCATGTTCAATCAATCAATTTAATCCTTAAACTACATTTGAACATAAAATTAATTTTCACCAAAGAGCATAAACTCACCCTAACTAATAGCAAAGATGCAATCAAAATTATTATTATAAACATTTTTCATTTATTCTTAAAAGTGCTAAAAATTATTTTAAATACTAAGTGAAGATAGGTCAGTTAAACCTAATTCTCTTCTAAGTGTCCAAAATCTTTCTTTTTCTAAAGGTTTTGTAAAGATATCCATTAATTGATGCAAAGTATTAACAAATTCTAGAACTACATCTTCTTTAGTGACATGGTCTCTAATGAAGTGAAGTCTAATTTCAATATGCTTAGTTCTAGAGTGTTGGATGGGATTTTTAGTGAGACATATAGCACTAGTATTGTCACACTTGATAGGAATGGTACCTACTTCAATTTCATAATCAAAAAGTTGTTGTTTTATCCATAAAACTTGTGTACAACAACTACTGGCTGAAATGTATTCCGCTTCAGTGGTAGATAATGCAACAAAATTTTGTTTCTTTGAAAACCAAGAAATCAGCATATTTCCAAGGAATTGGCATGTACCAGAGGTGCTTTTCCTATCTAATTTGCATCCTCCATAATCCGCATCAGAGAAGGCATGCAAGCTAAAGCTAGAGTCTCTAGAATATCAAAGTCCTAAACTAGGAGTGTCCTTAAGGTATCTAAAGATTCTCTTAACAGCTAGTAAATGTGATTCCTTAGGACATGATTGAAATCTAGCACATAAGCAAACACTAAATATAATATCCGGTCTACTTGCGGTTAAATAAAGCAAAGAGCCAATCATTGACCTATATAATTTAACATCCACACATTTACCACCTTCATCTTTGTCAAGCTTTGTAGATGAGCTCATTGAAGTG